AACTGTCCTTAGCAGAAAAGAAAAGCATCAATGCGAACCGAAGATGAAGTCCGTAAGATGACCATTACCGGCATAGAATGGCCTCCACCAGGAATGACAAAACGTCAGATAGGAAATTTCTTTCGAGGTGCACAACAGTTGACAGAACATCTTTTAGCTAATGGAGGTAGAGTGTCTGATAGTGAAGATTCAGATCAAGTCTCCTCAGATGATGAAGATGAGAAGTATCTCCAATGTTTCAAGCAGAATAAAATGGAACATAAGGCATGCTCTCGTTGTGGAGAAATTGGTCATGTTGCTAGCTCGTGTGCCACTACCTGCGTTCATTATGAGGAAGACCATCCATCCGACGGGTGTCCAACGAGCAGGATCACTTGTTTCTGGTGTGAAGGAACTGATCATGTACCAAAAGAATGTCAATTTAGTTTTCTGCTAACGAAGAAGATGGCAAACCAACCCGCCAGTTCCGACGGAGAGAAGCATCAAGGCAACACAAATCCTCGACAAGACTTGTGCCACTACCTGCGTTCATTATGAGGAAGACCATCCACCCGACGGGTGTCCAACGAGCAGGATCACTTGTTTCTGGTGTGAAGGAACTGATCATGTACCAAAAGAATGTCAATTTAGTTTTCTGCTGACAAAGAAGATGGCAAACCAACCCGCCAGAGGACAGAGGAATCAAAATAGGAAAAGAAAATGCCGAGTCCGGAAAGATATCTGTTGCTTCAATTGTCATGAATTGGGTCACTTCACCGACAAGTGCCCGAAACCGAGAAACATAGCTGCCAACACGTCAATCCACGCAAATCCCTGGAATCAGAAGCTTGCTCCCCAGCGAATTGTCATCCATGCATCCCGAAGCAGTCCTATAGCCCGCGTTGCAACAGCTTGAACTCCAATGAGTGCACTACCACAAGGTGTCAATGCTCAATTTCAGCCCCAGCAACCAGTTGACAAGACAGAGGCCAGTATCTGCGTTGTACCTTTAGATGTTCCAGCACAGCAGCCAAGAAATCAGGTACAAGATGAAGAACCTGAGTGTAAGAAAGTTATTGTTTGTTACAACTGCAGTGAAGAAGGACATTACTCCAGAAATTGTCCACAACCAAAGCGTAACCCACGCCATCATTCCGGACATTATGCACGAAGAAGACATGACCACAATATTAGGGTCACTGGAGCAAATGCAGAACCTGTCAAGCCTAGTGCTAGTCAGAAGCAATCATAATACTCTTGTATCGGTGTTGAAGTACTTTTGTTTTATAGTTGTTCCCTGTCAACCATGTAATAAGAGAGAAACATGAGATAATGAATGAGTTTGACAAGTTTATGAAGGATCGATGTTAAGATTGCAAGTGCTGTGAGTTGTGTATGTTTTATTGATGATTAAGGAGACCTAGAGTCTCATTTCCGTGAGCTCCTACTCTATTATGAATCAAATAACCTAGTTGTAGATAGAAAAGAAAATCAAGTGATCAACCAAAGAGACATTTGTTTGGACTAAGAGTTTCAGATGTGTCTTCTTCGGATCAAAGGCAACAATCATCAGTCTAGCTTTTGACGAATTACTTCAAGGTTCCTCTGAAAGGCAGCAGGCCCCAGGGACCACATTGCCACCAGAAGCATCCACAACTCTCAGAGTGAAGAGTACTTGGTTGAGAGAGGTCAAAAGGTGATTGATCGAAGAGGTCGGAAAAGATGTTTGGTTACTGGGAAAAGATGTTTGGTCGAAAGGTGATTGATAAACGATAATGAGAAACATGATTTGTGTCACTCGAGGAAGACTCCCAATAACAATCGACCCTACAACAGTCACCCTGTCATTAAGGCAGAAGAATTCGCGAGTAAGCAAGATGACCACAGGTAGAAGTACTTCCATGAGGACAAGGATGGAAACCTTTGTGACATGACCAAGAAGTCAAGAAGTTAACCTGAACAGTTGGAATCTAAAGCTCGGTTCAACCTTCGGCTCTGTATTAGATGCTACCTAGAATAAAAGCACTTGCACTAGTATCGTTCAACACAATTTCCTAGCAATCGATCCATCGGGAAAGAACACATCAAGGTTGAAGGTGCGAAAGAATACGTTGAATGCTAAATGATGACAGCATGAAGAGAATAGTGGAAAGTAAACCGAATGTAAAGAAAGTGAATCCAAGTTGCTTGTTCGTGAGAACCATTCCCAGTTATGAACCAAGTGATATGTTCGAAGATAATCTATAGAGTCCAGATCAAAATCACATCCAACAATCAGATTTGGTAGCATAAAGATTATACAGTTACAAGTCCAGCAGCAAAGTCATCTGGGAAGACGTCAAAGCATGTCAAGTGGGATAAGTTGGTTCTCTTGGGAAGCATAATTCAAAGTTAGAGTGGTCTACCCTTGGATCGAATAGTAGAAATGTCTAGCACCCGGAGACTAGGAAGGCTAATATGAGGCAATTAGTGGCAAGTTGTCAATCATATGGTATCCTTGGTAAGCGGGATATCTTAGTCTGAAGCATTTGGTGGTAAGCTGGAAGGAAACGCCAAGCGTGGTATTCTCATGATGAAAAGCATGGTATCCTAGTAATGACAAGCTGGAATCGACGCATAACGTGAAGTGGGTAACTTGTATGAGGCTGACGCCAAAGATATGAACTATGAGAAGTTCTAGAACTAAAGCCCCATCTTCAAGTGCCGCAACCCAGTCGAAGTCAGCTAGAGGTGCAACCAGGGACAAGTCAGGTGAAGAGAAGATTCCATCTGCAACAGAAGATCAAGCCAAGCAGTTCAGACTGGGGAAGTTTTGCTGGGCAAGTTTGTTAAAGAAGACGCAACGGAAGAAGTCAGACCAGAAGAGAAGACTGCCCACCTATCTTCTTGCTAGCCTTCTCGAATCTTGGGTGCAAGATTCCTGTAAGGGGGTGGATTTGTCACGTCCTGATAAATTCATCCCGAATTAAAAATCATTCTTTAAAAGGAATAATAGAATTAATTAAAATTCAAAAAGAAATTTGCAAACATTAAAATGCGTACAAGAAAAATTCGAATGTGACCCGGAGAATTTTTGTTAAATTCTCCTTGGTCTAAAAGGAGCCCTCAAATTTTACTTGAATTTTCAGAGCACCGGAAATATTTATTAAGCAACAACAACAATTAACAAAGTTTATTAAAAAGAAAAACTAAAAATAATCCCCTTTCCTCCTTTGGGCCGAGTTTAGCCCAAAGTCTTTCTCTCCTCCCTCCCTTTTCCCTTCTCTCTCGGGCCTCCTCTCCCCTCGGCCCAGCTCCGTCCCCCTCCCTTCCTTCTCTCGGGCCACCCCTCTCCCCTCCCCTCGGCCCAGCTCCCTCCTCTCCTCCTCCCGCCTGGGCCTGCCCCGGCCCAAGCCGAGCCGCAGCCCTCCCGCGCACGCGCGCCGCACGCGCGTTGACCGCGCACCTCCCACGTGGGTCCCGCCCGTCAGGCGTCCCCGACCTCCAGCCGCCGGCCTCCTTCCTCTCTCTCCTGTGAACCCTAGCGCCGTTCCTCCCTCCAATCCGCTCAATTCAAATGGCTAATTCCAAAATTGATTAGGGGGAATTAAACCCCATTGATTCCTCTCTCTTTCCCCCTAATTTCCCCCTTGAATAGCACCATTAATCGCCCGGAACAGCCGCGCCATCCCCGGCCACCTTCCATGGCCGCCGGCCGCCATTCCCGCCTCCGTTCCGCCCTCTCCCGTGGCCAGCTCCCTCCCCGCGCCTATAAAATGGAACCCCCTCCTTCCGTTCTCTCGTTTTAGCCTCCTCCCGCGTCTCCCCGTGGCCACACCACCCCTCCCCGCCGTCGTCCGCTCTCTCTCGTGCCGCCGGCCGCCTCCAGCCGCCTCTCCCTCCTCTGTCGTGCGTCGGTAGGCCGTGCCGTCGCCATCCTCGGCGTCGCAGCCACCTCCTCTCCTCCGGCCTGCCCTCCGTTTCGCGCGGTGACCATCGGAGGCGCGTTCCCGCCGTCGTCCAGTGGCGTTGCCGCCACTGTACTGCTCCAGCCGCCTGTGCAGCCTCGCCGGTGCTATGGCTGTCGTCGTCGCCTCCTTCCTCGGCACCGCGGGGCCATCACTCCGGCCTCCAAGGCCCGTAGGACTCTTATTCGGATCCCTATCCGAATTAAGCTCATATTGGATCTCCATCCAATCCCCTTATTCTGGCCCATTAAGCGTGCGACCCTGTAGGTTCATGTATACTCGGCTGTTACCCGAAAACTCCTTTTCGGTCCACGCATCAACAGTGGCCCCTAGCAGAACGTATTGACCCACAGGGCATACATAAAGATAATATCGGCTGAACCTCTGGTGTATACTTGTATGAACCCTTTTGCCTCACGATATCGATTAAGCTCAAGGCTAGATATGTGCCATCCTCTAATATCTCAATCATTCATCCGAACCTGTTGATAGATTATATAACTTGTGATTGACTCCTCAATCACCTTTGGCATGGCCATGCACTTTCATAATCTACAACATCGAGGGGCCCAGAGATATCTCTCCATAGGAGGGGCAAATCCCATCTTAATTATTCATATCTCACTACATGTTTCATAGTATACCCGAAAACTACTTTTATAACTACCCAATTACGGAGTAGCGTTTATAGCAGTCCGTAAGTAAGCTACTACACATGTTGGGAACCATGATAATCTCAGATCTAAGGATTTAACACCAACACTAAATAAGATCACTGATGACACAACACATATGGCTCTTGCAGTGTCTTATGTTGGATCTATCCAACAACATGTTCACTAACATGTGTCCATATTATTAATTTGATATCTCTATATCATGATCTATGAGACATGATCATCAATTAGTATATGTGCTGATCATCTAATCATATTTGTTCCACATATGATATTTAATCAGGGATCCTATAGAAATATTAACAAACAAGATAAAGAGTCTCATGAAAGAATCACATATTCATTAACTAATAATGAGTTATCTATTTCAAGAAACAATGTCGGATAAATATGTAAACATAGTATGTGATACAATCATATCTATGATTGCCTCTAGGGCATATCACTAACAATATATATACTACACATAACACACGGATATAATCATATAAAGCTCTGCAAGCAGCTAGGGCGGTTAGGCAAAAATGGCGATCAGTAGTGTTGCCCGTGCTGCAATAGTAATCTTGTGTCTCGTCGCCCTCACAAACCTTGCGCAAGCCCAGAACTCGCCGCACGACTTCCTGCAACCCCACAACGCCGCGCGCGCGGAGGTCGGTGTCGGCAAGCTCTCCTGGGACGGCACCCTCGCCGCGTACGCGCGGAGGTACGGCGAGAAGAGGTCCCACGACTGCACGCTCAAGCACTCCCGTGGGCCGTATGGGGAGAACATCTACCGGGGCAGCGCCGGGCGGCGGCGGACGGCCGCGGACGCGGTGGCGCGGTGGGTCCGCGAGAGCGCCTACTACGACTGCGGGAGCAACACCTGCGTGCCGGGGCGGCGTTGCGGGCACTACACGCAGGTCACGTGGGCACGGACCACGAGGCTCGGGTGCGCCGCCGTGACGTGCGATAGCGGCGCCACGTTCGTGGTGTGTAGCTACGATCCACCGGGCAACACCAACGGGAGAGGTCCGTACCCTGGATGTGGGGATTATGATGTCGTGTCCGAATAGCTCTACTTAATTACTACCTTTCTCTAGAGAAATAGCTGTACGTATAGCAAAACACCACCTAGTAGAATTTCACGTGATTGTTGAATTTTAACCCCTTGTGTATAACTCCCTCTTATGTTTACATAACCAAATACCATTGTAGTCTAAATTTAGATTTTCCATGATAAAGCATTATACTTGTACGTTCTTTCTTTTTGCTCGTAATACAACAATGGGAATTTCAGGGCGATATGAACGTGATAGTTCATTTTAACCCACTTGTTGCTGTATAATAAAAGATTTATACGACATACATAAATAGTACAGAGGGATGAAGCCATGGAAAATTCATTATTTTCTTATGGTAGGGAAAAATCATCATTGCCAATAATACGAATACCAGAATAAGCTAGGCCCGGTACTTTTCTCGATAAAGATTTACATCGGTTTACGTTAGCACGCTTTTCAAACTACAAAACGGCGTGTTTTGTGTGAAAATTTTCTATATGAAAGTTGCTTTCAAATATCAAATATATCCATTTTTCAAGTTTTTAATAATTAAAACTCAATTAATCACACTTTAATAGCTTTCTTATTTTACGTGCCCGCTTTTAATCTTATGAAGATTCAAATGCCACCTAAATATATTCAAAGTACACCTCCAGTAAAATTAGATGATACCCCATACACTACAATACAAAGACATCCTTTGGTGTCGGCTCCAAAAGCCCCTTTGGTGCCGGATTTGGAGCGGACATGAAATTGGTGGCACCTATGAGTCTTCCTCATTGGTGCCGGTCCAACAGCCGGCAACTATGGTGTGCATGATTTCAAAAAGAAAAAAAGATATATTGCTCGGCTCAATCGAACCATCACAGAATTATCTACGTCATAATGAATCATATCCAACCATAAACAATGAACAGTAACAATGAATCTTGCACGTCCCAGAATATTTCAGTCAGCAATTTCCAAATGCTAGCTCTAGTCATGAAAGAACACTGAACACAGAGATCATATCCAACCATGCATAGCATCTTGCAAGAACAGTGCAGAACACTTATCCAAGAACATGTAACAACAAAATAACAACACGAACAAATCACATAACAAATCGCTTAGTCGTTGTCCGTCGACTCGCCACTCATCGTCGAGCCATCTCGCGAACCCCACCACCCAGAGCAATGCCCCCCCTCCCTAGATCTACATGCCACTAGTGGGAGGCCGATGGAGAGGGAGAGGAAGAGGGAGACCGGATCAGCGCCCCGTCACCTCTGGGGAGCCCACCAGTTGCCTCCCTTGGCCACTGCCGCCACCACCAACATAATCGGGTTCATAAACCTGTCATACAACACAAAAGAATAGCAGCAGAAGTCTCTTAAATTCAAATAAACAAAAGAACCCGTGGAGTGTCAACCATCCTACACGGGCGACCAGCTGGGGCAAGAGCCAAGTTGAACAGCTACTCACCACCCTCACCGCCCGTGTAGGGCAGGAAGAACACACATCAATACTTTCATCCTCACCTGAAAGATAACAAGATGAATATGAATGGTACTCGCAAGACATACCCAATATAATTAGTACAAAGGAGAATGCAAGCTTCTATTTCAAAGGAAGGATAAATGGGTTAAGATTTGCCATAAAGCTAGTTTTATGGATCAAATACTATGCTGAGAGTATAAGCATTTGTAAATCATCGCAATCTGAAGTTTTTGACAGAAAGCATATATATCTAAAATTGAACCACAAATAAGCACAACTGGTGCTCTCACCATCATCTATGGGCCACCGTTGCCCAAATAACCATTCGCAAAATATCTACCAAGATATTCATGACTAGTACCCACCATTTAACCCATGTTTCATGCTAATATGGAGTGACTAACACATCAAGCGTCGCCCGTAAACGTGGACACGACTATTCGCATAGTTTTACTCCGATCAGAGGTGTAAAACTTTACCCACACAAAATGAACAAGGAACAAGTGTTTGATCGTCGCCATCCACTCCAAGGTGAGCTTCGCCTCAACCCATCATCTGGTTTCATCTTTCCATGCAAAACACATCCATACTCATATTTCTCCACTTTGCACAGGTTGAGTTCACGGTGCCACGGTCGCCATCGCCGTCGGCTCTAGTGCATAGTCGCGCGTCACTTCGCCGTTCCCGTTGACCCGGTGCATTTCCGGCCAAGCAGCTGCACCCCTGACGTAACCAAGGTCTTAGGAGCCAGACGCGCCAAGGGATTCCATAGAGATGCCACCGACGTGGGGATCGAGCTCATATTCTCTACCTCCAGCCGCCAGCCATCACCGTAGTTTCCTCCTTCCTCGGTGAGCTAGAGTTCGATTCCTTATGCAGGAATTCCTCTTAGGGTTTCAGTAGCCTCATGAGCACCTTCATTTAGCAGCCCACAGACTAGAGCGAGCCACCGCCGTGAAGCCGACGCCATCTACAGCCGACGGGTCGATCCTCGTTTCGCCACCACCATCCAAGACACTAGGCCCATCCATAAATTTGGTTAGCTCCCTAATGCCCTCTACATACACATTTCTGCATGTTTTTCATTTGAATCAAACCATAGCTCTAACTGGTCATGCACCCCGAACCATACCGCCACTTGCACCACTACTGTCATTGATTCAGGGATCACCATTGGCCATGATTAGACCACCTACGGATGCGCAAGAGACCCATTGTGGACACCCCGAGTATTATACCATCCAGTGTCCAACGCGACCACCACATACTGTTGGAGGAGTGGGATCCAAACACGCATAAAAAAGCCACTCATCCTCAATGTGTCCATGATCACGGTTGACACCTTCTGCTATAATAACCGGAATGCCGAGTAGTGATCGTAAGAGATAAACCATAAGATAACTTGCCAGGCTACTCCGTCATATGCCCGTCAACCACACGAAGGCGGCGACTAGAAAACAAGGCATACCCCAGTGCCTCGATCCAAAGCGCTATCCCCAATTATCTCAAGCAATCAAAACCCGTTACTCGTGCTCAGCTAGTCCCCAGGAATGCGACTAGCCTCACACATTCATCGCAAGCAATTGGAACATCATCACAAGTGCATAAAAAGGGGTTAAGTACAGCAAGTATCTGGTACAGAATAGGGTCCGATGTCCCATCTAACAGCACACAAGTAGCAGTGGAAGATTCAAACAAAAGCTAGAAGCACAAAACAAAACCGGTGGTGCCACAACCCCACAAGGTCACCGGGCAAGAGCCAAGCTGAAGGCAGCAGAAGATCATTCCCTGCCCTCGCCGCCCCCAGAGGACAGTGACCACACAGGAAGCACAATTCTACGCCGGAGTCCTCATCTGAAAAACAGCGGAGCCGGGTTAAGTACAAGATTGTACTCATGAGTCTTACCCATAAAAATATATATAAGGGGAGAGAGAAGTATACAGGTTTACCTTAACCTAGAGCAATCTAAGTTCAACATTTGCATAAAGCCAATTTTATTGAGCAGATATAAGTGAAAGCGATAACACAATAAACTGATTAGCAACATTATAAAATTCTGGACAGCAAGCGAATTAATCTGAAATGTACAAGTAAATGAGCCCAAACGGCGCTCACAACATCCACCATGGAACTACCAAATTCCATGTCATCATGGCACAGCCTGCCAACATCACCATCAAACATAAACACACCAGAATAACCCAAGTTTGATGCTAACATAACTGAGGCACACATCAAGCATTGTCCATAACCATGGACACGGCTATTTGAATAGATTATACTCTGATCAGAAGTGTACAACTGTACCCACAAGAGATGAACAAGGATCAAATGCCGCCCACCACACAGGTGCAACCTACAAGTGATTCAAGCTCATCACATGTCCTTTCCTAGCCCCACCCCAACCATTTAAACCACACCGGGGCCCCCGACGACTCAGTCACGTGCGTGTGATGTGACTAAGGCGGGCTCACCACGCGGGAGATACCCCCTGCCGTACCCCGGCCAACCGGGCACTCCGCGGATCCCAAATCCTCACGTTTCTCCGATGGGCGTAAATGATCACAGTAGGTTTAGTAATCAAACAGGCCGGTCCTAGGATACGGTGTGTGGTAAGTATGTAGGGTGCTTGAATGGACGTCAAAATGTTCGGTCCTTAACGACCCAGACAGAGCTACTGCATCAGGGGAAACATACCTCCCATCATCGCCCTACCACCCGTCCAAGTCAATCATATTTCATCAACCATTATTTAATGTAAGTGCTCCAGTTTTTAGCCCATTAACCAAGTTGTCCATATCCCAGAATTAACAAAACTGTCCAGCCATATAGTTGTATCCCCACTAAGCAAAACTAAGCATAATGAATAAAACATCCCAACTATTTCCAACCAGGAGAGTAATAGGTATATGGCAGCTATATATAACTAAGGTAAATACACCAATTAATTGTCTACCATGTCACCCAAAACTATTAACTAAACAAATGCAAATATATATATAGATTCGCAACCAAGGGAGTTTAAGTTCATTGGCGCTAGATGCTTAGGTGCTCGCCATCCCGCTGAGGGTAGTCACACTCAGGCTCTGGTTCCGCTTCAGCACTCTCCAGAATCTTCGAATCTATCGAAAAGAAGCAATATGCGAATAAGATTCAAATAAGCATGCATATGCAACATGCTCAGTAAAAACATGGCCTAATTACAGTAGGTAGAGAGTATGATGAACATATTTTAGAAACAAGAATCATCTCATTTACATTTATGGTTTGAGAGATATAAAAATAACAAGCCATATACACTGAAAATGGCACTATGCTAAAACTGAATATAAACTATAGATCATTTGGTGATCCCCACATAATCTAGCAAATTTTCATGAGTGCAACTTGTACCGTACTAAAGAGTATAACTTACTGGTTATATGAGAAGTATTTGGATTATTTAATTTGGAGTTTGAATAAGTTAGTAGGTATTTAAGAAATCTAGAGAGTGAGGAAAAGAAAACTACTGCTTGCAGCACTACATAAGATTTGT